TAAGAATTAATAATTAAATATAAATAAGAAGAAGGAGTCTTTATGTCGCGTTACCGAGGTCCTCGTTTCAAAAAAATACGCCGCCTGGGGGCTTTACCAGGGCTAACTAATAAAAGGCCCAGAGCTGGAAGTGATCTTAGAAACCAATCGCGTTCCGGGAAAAAATCCCAATATCGAATTCGCCTAGAAGAAAAACAAAAATTGCGTTTTCATTATGGTCTTACAGAACGACAATTACTTAAATACGTTCGTATCGCCGGAAAGGCAAAAGGGTCAACAGGTCAGGTTTTACTACAATTACTTGAAATGCGCCTTGATAACATTCTTTTTCGCTTGGGTATGGCTCCGACTATTCCGGGAGCTCGCCAATTAGTTAACCATAGACATATTTTAGTCAATGGTCGTATAGTAGATATACCAAGTTATCGCTGCAAACCCCGAGATACTATTGCGGCGAGGGATGAACAAAAATCTAAAGTTCTAATTCAAAATTCTCTCGATTCATCCCCCCATGAGGAATTGCCAAACCATTTGACTCTTCAACCATTCCAATATAAAGGATTAGTCAATCAAATAATAGATAGTAAATGGGTCGGTTTGAAAATAAATGAATTGCTAGTTGTAGAATATTATTCTCGTCAGACTTAAACCTAACAAAAATAAAATCAACACTAATAAGAATAAGGAAGAATAAGGGTTCGACCCATTTTGCTCCCTTTCGGCGAAGTAAATTAACCTAAGGTTAAGATAAATAAGGGTTTGATCCGGATTTTTCTTCCATTTAGGTATCATAGACCGAGAGGGAGATTTTCATTCCTTGTCTACTCTACTCTTTTCGTTTACACAGTATTTTCTGTACCACAGCCATTAGGAATAGAGAATCCATATCAACGAAAGGTCTAACTGTTGGAATAGTCGTATCCATTGCTATTTGATCTATTGTGGTTAGTAAGATCGATGAATTAGGTGAAGGTACGGAAAGGAAAGAGAGGGATTCGAACCCTCGGTAAGCAAAAGCCTACATAGCAGTTCCAATGCTACGCCTTCAACCACTCGGCCATCTCTCCTACATAATGATTATGACCCAAAAAACTAAAATCGAGTGAATAGTGAATCATTCTAGATTATTGGGTAGGTACAACCAATCAACTCTAACTATAAAGCGATCAAAATCGAAAATTTTTCATCATAGTAAAAGAAGTATCTTTCCTTCTAGGCTGGGGGGATAAAGATAAAATTTTTTTCTTACAAAAACTGTTCAAAAAATTCTATTCATGTTTGCAAAAACAATGTTCTCTTCTTTTTCTGAATTCTCTATTTATATATTTATACTATACCGACCGGATTAAATCAATAAATTAGAAATTCTAATGAATCAACTGAGCGAGGGATTTATATTTTGTAGACTATGGTTAATGGATATCTTTAGATCATGATTCGATTTAGACTACGATTCCATATCATAAGAATTCTCAAATTCCTTTCTAGACCAGTTTTAGAGTTATCAACACAAATCCTTATCCCATCTATCTATTACAAATAGAAATTGATAAACAATTTTTTTATAGTTGATTGTATAGTGTATACCCCTAAGTACACAACACAAAAAAATAGGCGGTTATTCTATTTTCATCATACAATGATTATTCGATCCTTTTTCTTCTTTGTATCATAATTAAATCAACTGAGGTTATTCTAAGCTGTAACTTCAATCAAATAAGAATAGTTTCTTTCGTTGGTAGACTATTCCAGTAAGATGGAATCGAATCCGATTACCATATTTCTTTCTTAGTTTTTATCAATTCCTGTAATGTAAAAAATAACAATTTGAATATTGAATTTTTGAATAGAAGAACTATATCTTTTTTTTTTTTTTAATGAGAATCAATCTGTTTTTATGTTATTTCGTACTGTAGAATTCTTTTCCTTGTGGGATTATTTTCCCGCGAGAAGTAATGAGAACAATGATAGAATGGATTGCTACCTATGCCTAGATCGCGGATAAATGGAAATTTTATTGATAAAACCTTTTCAATTGTAGCCAATATCTTATTACGAATAATTCCGACAACTTCAGGAGAAAAAGAGGCATTTACCTATTACAGAGATGGTGCGATTTGACTTTTTTTTATTAATCTCAGTCTTACGAGAAATACACATGATTCGTGATGGGGAAAAAAAGAAAAAAATCTACGCTTGTTGAAGGTAAAGTTTGGAAATAGAACAATTCCTTCTGTCGTGTATCCTCGATTAATGCAGCCTCAGATGCTATGTTTCAATTCTCGATTCTAGTATTGAGCGAAAGGTTATACCTATGGTATTACAGGTCAATCCTAGTCCACTAGTACCAATAGGCAGCAGAGGGGAAGAAGCACTACATCTAGGAATCAACAACACGAAAACTTTGTTATAAATTATCCTTTTCTTTAGCAGGCTTGGGATTAAAAGAATGGTTGGGACAACAAACATCCATCTCGTTTGTATTTTGGATACCCGTATA